AAGAAAGCTGATATTGATCATAAGGAGGAGAGACAGGGTAAGAAAAGCGCAAAGCAAGGACGGTCAGCTGTTTTTTTTTACCCATAAACAGGAGACCTTTAAGGACCTTCGTCTGTCTTGTGTGTCATTTCGCGAGCGCTCTTTCGCGCCCGCAAAACCAAACAAAGTAACTCCTTTAGGCAAAGGCAACTAATTTATCCTCTATATAGATCATCACTGAAATAAAAACTAATCAGAGAAAGTGAGATGGCAAAGGGGTTTGCGGATTACTTAGCCTTCATACAGACAGCTGGGAAAGAGCATATCAAGAGACTATCAAATCCCCAATGCCCAACCTGTTCCTTCTTCCTTTTCTTTGTAACCATAGCAAAAAGTTACTTTCGTATCCTGCGGTATACAGCAAATGATGGAAACTCGTTGGGTCATTTAACCGAAGAAATAAGTCCAGATTTTAAACACAAGTTAAAATTGCAGAATCTGAAGTTGTGTAGAAAAACATTCATTTCGCAATAAAATCTTAGTTAGCCTGCACAAGCACTCGAAGCACCCGATACGTTATACTTGTTTTACTATTTTAACTGAACCGAACTTATCATTCAAACTGTATTACTAGGTTATGCAGTTATACTATTGTTCTCGGTGTTAGCTATTAAAAATCTGGCTTAATGCAGAAACTGCTCTCTTTTTGTTCCTGTCGTCAACGAAGGCATCCGTTTTTCTCATCGTTATTGCGAAAGACTGTGCCAAGCTGCATGTTTATGACTGCTGATCAGTTGCTTTCCCATGACTTGTGGGAAATTCGCCAAACCAAGGGCTGTCGAATTATAATCCTCAAACAAAAAAACTAACAAAGCAATCATACTTTCACTAGTCAAAAGCCAAAGACCAATTTCTTGGCCTCGAGGCTGCGAGCTCACGCTATGTACGAACAATATTCACTTTCAGCTAATTATAATAAGGGCATTGAAACATATCCGCAAACACTAATTAACTCGAGAAATGGATGGATCTCGTTTCTGAATTCCCGTTATCCGTATGAAATTTCCCCAACATTTGAATTTTTCATTAATTTGGATCAGCAAGTAAAACTGATCGGCGAAATGCCACCTGCAGTCTAAAATCAAGTATGCATTTATGTTGATTGTCTACCAGTAAATTTTTGTCATAGCTCAACGGTATAAGTGCATGACTTTGCCTCTCTGCTGTTTTCCGAGACGCCAATAACCCCCTTAAATATACTTCGTACGGCCCGAGTAAATGCAAGCCCTGGGCATACAAATACGCATGGTATGTGGAAAGTAAGGACGAATGACTGTGAATTTGCTTTATAGATCCGTTTAAATCACAAAATATCATTTGTTACAATTCTTGACCTTTAATACAAAATGCTATGCGATGCATTAGCCCTACCTGGTTGGTAACGTTAATAAGTGCCCTCCTTCAATTATATTACTATATAGTATCTACTTACATTATTTAGGTAGCCCAGTAGAGGGTGAATTTGCGTACACTTAAACCTGCTCAAATTCGTGACTAAGAGAAAATGGACTGAAAACAAGGCGATAAATGGAGACAATACGAGAAAGCGTAAGTAGAAACGGTGGGATGAAGTTTCCAACCGGAGTAATGGTAGAAACTAAAACAAGTGCGAATGCCTGTGACAGTTCACATTTTCAGGAGAAATAAGAGGTGACTGATGGAAAGGTGAAAGGGACTAAGACACACTCAACGTCAGGCTTTGTTATCTATCGGCAGAAAATTTACTGAGTACTGTGATTTCTAACCTAGTAGGTGCGCAAGACGAAGCTAGAAGTGCATGGTCTCATAACAGATGTTTCGGTGTCTTCACTAGATTAACAAGGAATCTAAGGGATGTAATTTGCGCAGTGGACGGCAATGTGCCCCATGGGCAAAATACGCTTTCCCTGACGTCACCGGCAATATAGCCTGCAGTCTACGGCTTAAAGTCATTTATTGAACTAGAAGCTGGTCACATGAATAAGGAATGACGTTTATAAGCGACCTTATGGGTGGCTTGTACGAAACCGACTACAGCTTATGAAATCCATCGAAAACATCATGTGAAATGTAAGCCAAAGTAACAAGGTTTAGCTCGGCTGGCTGGACGCCGATCATACAGGGGAGAAAGGGGACGCTATAAACGTCAATGGCCTAGCTACCTAAATCAAATAAGTGGGCATAAATAGTAATGCTATAATTATGGAATTAGTTCCGTGGTCCACAAGAAAATGCATCTCATTTTCAACATACTAGCCTTACAAAGCTTCTTTTGACAACAGCTATCTGATGACAGAATTTCGAAATAAATCAAACTTCTGCATTGGACAGTATACGTGTTATGCGATAATCAGTAACTACTGTAAACCACCATGTGTTTCATATAAATCTAAGAAGTCCTCATAGAAGTTAAAAGACGCGCCATCACTGGCTCAACCTGAAGGCTATTTACTACGCAAGTAAATTTCAGCTATTTTTCGGTCTCACCTTTGTAGACTCTTTCCGTTTTAAACGTGCCATTGTGTAAGAATGCTGACAGCATCATCCAAAATATGTGGACTTTTATTTTTTCGCTACTTCTATGCATATGGGAGAGGAAACGCAACTGGCAAGCGGAAGATGATCGGGAGTCTGTGCTATACAAATGTGATACACAGTTCACGGTCAGGTAAAAAAATACACGAGTAAGCCTGGCAATTACTGACTATTTGTAAGCATTTCTCAATCTTATATATGCTCCCGACGAAGGTCTGTTTATGCGCATTAAGAATAGAAGTTAGTTTCTCGATGTCGGGTTAGTTTGATGTTAGGATCTGCAAGCGGAGAATTAATACGCTTTCCATATTACCTTAATCGACTATTTTCCTGCATACATGTAAAAAAATACTCGCAAAAGCTCGAAGGAAAAACGACGTAAGTGAGCTCATTGTCCGCAGTATATAGCTTGTGCTCTGTAGCTGCAAGACCAACACTGAACGTGTCATTAACTTGTTAATCAAGAAGCAAGGCAGATCCTGACTTAGATGCCATACAATTTCAGAGTCCAGAAAAACTCAGTCCTACATACCGTGCGTAATCTTCTATTTGAGATGTTTCTCGTGCTTTCATTTCGCAATTCATCTTTTACATTTTCCTATGCTTGTGTCGTCGTCAAGCTTTATGTAGCTCTATTTGCAATTGCTGCAGTAAATCAGTCAAGAATCATTATTCACACGAAATGGTTCAACGGAGTTTTGCATGAAGTTTGTTAAAAATAATAGGAAAAGAAACAAATATGAGATCTCGTCTAAAATATTCTCGCTAAATTAAAATGCAAATATCTGTTTTGAGGTAAACAGCACGGTGCCCAAATGTGATATCATTTATTATAACCAAATGTAATTTTCCCATTCATGCGACCTTGCAGTCATTTTAGAATCAAGATCATCAGTTAGTTCACACCCCATGACACAGTGAAATACTTTAGCTCAGCGTGTTCCGTTAAAATGCAGGAATGTAAATTTACTGAGACCAATCACCATGTTCTGTCTTGTCCTTCCTTTATGACGCTGGGCTGAATTGGGATAATGTTGATATTTATGCACTTTATTATGAGCAAGTTCTTTTCAATTGCTACTAATCTGATTATACCGGCGGAGTTGCGGAGGAAACAACGG